GCAATTTTATCGAATTAAATGGTCGTTCTTTACATATCATTCATTGTAGGATAAACTTTGTCGCATCATAATCAATCAGCAAACTAACAGATACTCGAGGCTGTCATCATTTACTACTGCTTATCACTGACTTGTTTCGGGCTATTCTTAACGGATCGTCTCAGTTCTCTGAGATGTCGATTCCATGTATTCCAACCAATCCATCGTTTATTCAATGATGAGCGAGCTGTAAACAGTCATTTTTCCCAGTTCATTTTTTGTTTTTTTTGCTCAAAAATCAGCTGATTTCTAACGAATCAATTATGACGAAACCGTCCGATTAGAAAGAAGTATTGTCGCAATTAAATGATCGAGCATGTGTTCAATGGTCGCTTTTTTCAAACGCAAAATGTTAATCATTCAAATTCGAACAAGTTATGAGCGTCAATTATGCACAAACATTGGATACAATAAAACATCGAAAATAAGTGGAGAGAATTTTGCTTTCTTTAGAAAAAGGTTAACTTTTTGGTTTGCTTTCATTCTTGTTACTGTGTTTTGAAAATGGTTGATTTCGCCTCGCCTTCGTATTATTTGAACAAATATCAAATAAATATTCTTACGACGAGTATCGTCAAGCGGTTGCGCAGTGTATTCCAAGCAAACTCTAAGTTTTTCATAAGGCATTGTATGATTGAAAAGTGATGCAGGTTCAGTGGTCCAACTGAATACTGGTGCCACATAAATGAATAGGCGATCCTTCCTCGGTCTGAATCGACAAATAGCAATCAACTTTTTTGAAATTTCACAATTTGAAATTGAAAAAATTTTGATTTTTGCGATAAATTTATTTGATCAATCCATCCTTTAATAGAATTTGAATTCGAAGGAATGGATGCTCATTTAAGAGTTCAGTTGTATCTGTTCGATTGATACTATCGCTCTCCGTAGCGATGGCATCAAACTTGTCTTTCTTTTCACATCATTGCACTCATAATAACAGTTGCTAGTTGCAGTTTCGTATTCACTTGAGGACACATTTTTAGAGTGAAACGTTGAGGAATTTATTATTTGTTTACGGAATAAAAGAATTTGATTGCGTTGTTACGATGACGAAAAGCTTAGATCATAATTGCATCACGTTATCATTTTTGATGACCTTTAGTTATTATCAAACCTAAATGTGGCACTTTACCGATAACAACTGATCAATAAGATGATGCAAACCAACAGTTCAGTGCGTTGAATATTCGGGTATTCATCATCCACTTTGAAGCATTTCGTTGGACGACGACTGATCGTAATCGATACCGAATTGCGCGTTCGAACATGCGGCAACGAGAATAAACGACGACCGAACACAACACCACATACCTTGAGTGCATTCACCGTTATTCTTCGATAACAGACCTCTCTCGAACTTAATCTTCCCGTAAAGAATATAGCTCTCTCTGGCGATTGGCCGCTTTGGAAGGACAAATTTATTGATATTTAATTCATTTACTTGACATTCTGGCAAATTGCTTCATTGATTTGCATGAATATGGGAGACTTGATTAGTGGTTGATGATCGCAGATGAATTGAAACACTTTTGCAGGATGTTCTCATCATTATGGACAGTTGAAGTTGCTTGATAGGAATAAATTCCTTTAATCATGCAAAAAAAGTACCTGTGAAACAAAGTATGCATAATTGTCACTGGTGTGAATCTTGAATGCTATCGCGTGTTCACCGTGATTAATCAACATGATAGTGTGAGACTGAGGTGGACGATCAATCTGGTTTATGAACTGTCATTTGAGAGTTGTTAAAAGTTGAGTTGCGATGTTTCAGGTACCAACGACAGACTTAGTAATTTGCTTAATATTACCTGACTGCGTGAATTATTATAAGGACATCACTGGAGGGATGGTGTTTTCGATGTGGAATATAAATTTCAGTTCACCTGTTTTCCGAAAATCAACCAATTTTTATCGATTGACGCCGTGATTCTAGGCTCAATTAATTCAACATCTGCATTTTCATTCGTCCAAATGAAGTGATCATTACTCATATATGCTACGCTTTCCATCTCTTTCACAGCACTCAAAATTTAACATTTGTAAATGTTTTCGATCAGGGTGACTTAAGCTAAATGAACCATCATCCAAAAAAAAGAGATAATTCAAAAGTCGAAAGTTTGACACAAATCATCATGACAACGAATTGCCCAGCTGAGGAATGCATTTGAAATTCCATTAAAGGAACGACAGAAACGGAACAACTGGGATATCAAAGAACATAGTTTTTTGTTCACTATTAATCATCGCACGTTTCATTTTTTCATCGT